AAAAACTAGTTTATCACTGTTTCTTTGATGGTTTAGTTTAACAATTTGTTTTTCAGTTCTGTATCACTTATATTGTATATAATGTTTACCAAATCTTAAAGTATTTTTGAAAAGTCACCAGATTCAGTTTTGTGCACGTTGCCGAAAGCTATACTGTAATGTTTGCTTGTTAGCGGGCAATTTTTTTTTTTAAATTTACCTACCATTTTAACTAAGTTCAATTCAAGGTGTTAGCCAATTTGAATAAAATAGTTTTGGCTTGTTTTTTTTTTTTTTTTTTTTGTTAATATATCATTCATATTTTTTCATATATTTTTTTTTTTTCAATTTATTTGCTGGTAATTTTTTTAATTTTGGGCTTTCGCATTTACCAAAACTTGGAAAAAAAATACCTGGAAAAATAAATTGAAAAAAAAATATATGAAAAAAATATGAATGATATTAACAAAAAAACATAAACATTCTATAACATGCACCCTCTAGTGACAGAATACATACGTGACAGTAATGTCAACTTCATCATCAATCTCTCAAACATAGACTACTACAGATCAAAGCAAGGTCAACGGCCTTCGCATCGCCTATTTTCGTAACTAGAGGGTGCAATTTATAGGAAAGGTATATTGCACACATTCATTTCGAGTGGCATATACTTTATTTTTTGTAAATCTTCATCTGGCTCAACCTGGTTGCTATGGTTATATCCTCATCAATCTACAGGAAGAGGATGCAATACACAGCCCGTTGCCAGATTGTCTCATCTTTATTCACCAATCCCCTGCCTTTATTTCTTGCATTCAAACAGGACATGTAATCAATCACATCCTACTATGTTTAATTTATTTTTCATTCTTCAAAATTTATATTTCAATATTGAAATATATATATATTAAGCATTGTTACATAATTGTCCACACTGCCAGTATTTTTACCACGCATTGAGCGGGAAAATGGATAAATTAAAAATTGTCATGGTAGATTTTTAGTTGAGATAAATTTCAAAATGAATTTGTTTTCCTTCATTAAAATGTATAGTGGTACTGGTTGTGTACAGAGGGTTTGATCTGTTTTCTGTCAAGTTCAATTGTATTAAAAGTGCATGATCAAGGTAAATCAATTTTTATTTTCTCCAGATGTTTATTATGCCAGTGTATCATCAGCCTCTACTGGATATGCAATAAAAATGTTCTATTGTGTTCTACATGCAGTGTTTGTTGCTTGATTTACTTTTCATTCAATTGTTTCAGTGATGTTAGGCTGATTACAGCGTAGTCCATCCCATAGATATTTTCTATCAAGTCCCAGTCATAAAATGCTGTGCTAATTTGTCATCATTCACCAAATAATCTTGCGTGTCCATTAAGTTGAAGACTAACAAAAATATTAAGTCAATGACATGTTTTTAGTGACTTTGTCAAACAATGAAAAGCATATTCTGATTATGTTTAATTATTGGGATAGTATTTAGCATAACTACAAATGAGCATAAAACAGGTATAAAGACTAAGTTTCAATGAAATTGTTCAAGGCATGCCCCCGAAACTGTTGACATGTCAAAATGTTGATTTTTGGCGTTTTTTTTTGTGGACAAAAATGGCCGCCAGTCTGTCAACAAAATCAAAAATAGATTTGGACATGTCTCCCATTATGACTTGTTTAGGTACCGGATTTGAATCCAAATGGGACTAAAAAATAAGCAAAAATGTTGAACTAAAATGTTAGTGCAACTCATACTGGCATTCTCAAATTGATGCAGAACAGACATTTAGCTATGACCACATGGAATTATTCCCGGTTTAATGTTGGAATTTCAAGACCATCAGCTCAGTTCTTGACCATTTTAAACAAACTTTGTCTCGTCTACACTGGGTTTATTTTTATTAAACCCATCTCTGGAACACTTTACCCTGACCTTTCATACTTTTTCTTAAAAAAGTTTATCATAAAATCAAGACTGTCAAATAAATATATTTCAATTTTGGTAGCTGTGACCAGACATAATCTTTAAACCCTTGCAGCAAATGAAAATGGTGGATCTTGTGCATTTCAACGAGGGCGCTGTCTTTAGTAAATATCGGGGTAGAAGTGGAAAATTCAGTCATGTCTGTACATGACTTTGACCATTTATAGAAAAGCACCAAGACGTACATATCAAAAAAAGATTGCAATTGACAAAATAATCAGCAAGTTTTTATTTCATACATTTGCATCCAAGAGATGAAAAAAAAATTCTATAAATTAGATATTATTCTAATAATCTGTGGCAGTCTGACATCATGCAAAAAAAAGGATAATGGACAGAGTAATGAAAAATGTCCACTTCAAATACAGAAATATATACACACTGTAAAGTAATTTATTTTCACTTCGAATTTATTTTAGCTGAAGGGGTGAATCGGTGTAAATAAAATACCTTTTCCTATGTTTTACATTCAACGCCAATGTTGTACAAAACAGTTCAAACTCATTTTCAGCAAAAACTAATTCGAGCTAAAATAAAGTATTACCCTGTTGAACCTGGAATGTTGAATAATTGACTATAGAATTTAGATCTACATACTGAATTTATCTATTTAGAATAAAATATTATTTATGTGTTTTCAAGTCGGCTGGGCTTCCGGAGAGTCTTAACTATTGCGTCTACATCAGACATGTATATACATGATATGGCATGTCAGTCATGCAGTGAATATAAGGATCTGTGGTACATTACAAGACAACCCCAGGGAGATAAAATACAAGCCTTATAACCACCACCATTAGTATTATTATGACTTCAAATCTGTTAAATATTTGCTGTGAGAAATATTCAAGTTTTCAAGGACATTTATGTCAATAACACATGTCCTACAAAACTTTCAGGATTTACCGACTCAAAACTATGCCCTGCTGTTTTGTTGAGTTGCATGTTTTATACACAAGCTGTTTCAGTTAAATTTAACATAATTGAAAAGCGGTTTATGTTTTTTTTTTTCATGGCAACCTGGTACAAAATTCGGATCTGCTGATGACATACACCAACACTCAACATCTAGCTTGCACCATTCGGTCTTGTGACTGTGTTGTGTGTCCTCACGACATGGAATGTACACTCTCATCATCACTGAAATCCCAAATCTGTAAAATAAAAATTTGTTGTCGGTACAAGTCTTGCAAACGTGTTGAATAGAAGGAAGGTTGTTAAAAAAAAGAAGACCAGCAAGTGTCAGAACCTTTTCACCACCAGTTCCTTCTTTTTATCACAATTTACAAATTAGTCCTATTTATAGTCTGCACTTTCCTTCAGAAAGTTTGGGACAAAAATATCCAAATATTCCTAGCCTACTAATAGAAGTATTTGCATAATTGGTCAAACAAAAATTAGAATAAATTCTCTCACCTCTGCATTTTGAGTTTCTTTATGAAGTTCAGTCAATCCTGTCAAGTCTTCCAAATATGTGGGATTATTAAAAGCATTCTGAAGGAAATCAAAACCTTCTTTTTCATAATGTTCCACAACAATGTCGGAGCAGGCTGTGCATTTAGTAAATCGTAGACTAGCGGGCAAGACATGGCTGAATCGAGACAAGAAACCACGAATCTAAAACAAAAGGATTTATGTTTTTATGTTGCATACACCATTCAAATTTAATCTAAAAAAGTATGGACTTTGCATATTCACATTTTTTAGCGAAAAATAACAAAATTAAAACCCAACAAATGATTAAATATATTTACAGGAACAATTCTACCATTTACATACACTCCCTTCTGTCATATTAATTGTAACACGTTGAGTATGTTCAGCAAAATCTCATCTCCATACATCTAGTATTAAGTATCAGTACATACTAGTCACAGGCCCTTGGTTATCAAACCTTGTAGCTCACCTGGTGTGGTACTAGTCCTAACGATGAGACAAAATCAGAACTCAAGTGGTCATCTTTTGCGCTGGTATCTGCGGCGGCGTAACCCCTGTGGGACAGTGACAGAGGTTAAAATGTACCGGTAACAAGTGCAAATAATAAATTTGAATATTAATGATCAACAATATTGTTGTATTCTACCAATATGATTAAACATTTGATGTATTGTATGGCATGTAGTTTTTTCTATTCACAAAGAATTTTATTTTACAATTAGTTTTCATTCTTTTGTTATTTTTTATTCACATAAATATTTTATGTTATTTCAACTAATTTCACGTTATCAAAACTTACCAGTAAATAAATAATAATAAT